GGGTTTTGATGAAGGAGAAGGGATCTGATCTTGTGTAGTCTGGTGGAGGAAAGATAGGCGGTGCTGGTGAACTCAAAGTAGGAGGAGGAGGGACTGGACCTTTCTAGGCTGCGGAATGATAGTAACAGGGTAGCCAATGGAGGGTGGTGGCGGATTAGCCATTGAAACTAAGAAGTGCCTTTATTGGAAAACAGGAATGCTAAAAAAAACCCAGAAACGAATATCAAAAGTGTAAAGCTAACAGCAAGAGATTCAAACCCAAACCTAGTTCTCAAAAGAGGAAACAAATTGAGGGTTTTAAGAGTTGCAGAGAATTTCAATGAATTATCCCCATTACCACAGTTAACAAATTACAAAAACAGTCACAAATCACTTAAACGCAAAAACAAGAGACTACTAATCAAGCCCTCACTTATCGCGGAAGCAAAGATGATTGGAGGTGGTTCACAGAAAAAACAAAACAAAAAAGGACTTGATGCGAACCCAGCTCAAGATATCCACTTTAAAGCCACGAACTCGATCCAAAACCCCCAGAAGACACCAGAATTCCTTCTTCCCAAATGAAACAAACTTTAAAGAGGCTAAACCGGGCTCTTGTTAAAAACCCGATCACCTGACTCCGCACTTCCGCAGAATTACAGCTTCAATAAAAATCCCTCTCTCCACAGCTAAATCTAGAAAATTCAGAACAAAAAAGAAATTACTAATTAAAAACAAAAACTTTATTATAAGTGAATGATCTAGGGTTTAAACGAACAAGCAAAGAAAATTGGAAAAAAGATGGGAATGGCGTACCTCAATTGAGAGATGAAGGCGTCTTATTTGAAAATCCAATACCGAAATACCAAGACTTTTACTGTTTAGGAGACTCTGGGCATGTGTTTCAAAGGAGCTCTCGGGTTTTCCTCTCTGTGCTAGTTATGTGCTAATATTTTATGACACAGCACATGAGAGACGAGAGAGAGCCCCTCCGTGATGGGGAACGCAAGGTAACAGTAAATAGTCGTGATGAAAAACTTTTTCACTGCATCCAACCTACCAGCTCATAACTACCAATCACCCAATCAAAAACTGCCACGTAATCTTATTATACGTATAACTCGGCCGTTAGTTTTGAAACCGTTAACGTTAAAGTAAACATAAAATTGCCCAACTCCAATAATGCTTACCGAGTTACTGTAAATAAATAAATGAGAAAATTATTACACGCTATAGATTAAATATGTTTAATTAAGAATAAAAAGTAGCTGCTAAAAAAATAATTTATTATATAATAAATTGAGGTAAATAAATAATAATTTAATCATAGAAATTAAAAAATTAAAAACAAAGATAAAATTAATTTTTCCTCGATGGTCTGATTACATTGAATAATGAGACGTCAAAGCATAGGAAAAAATTTCTGAGTCAGTTACTTTATCTCCAAACTAAGTTTTACCACGTCAGAGCGACTGTCACTATTCTTAGTTTTGATTGGGCAATGCTGTTTGTCACATAAGTTTATGATGTATAAGGGATAATCGCATATTTTAAAAGAACTCACGTTCATGCTCACCCTTCTTAAGAGACCTTTTTTAATGGTGTCGATTTACACTCTATTTTGATAAATTTTAGTAATCGTTAATTAATGTATGATAATGTCAGTAATTAAATGACAATGACATAGGATATGAATGATAATTTTTTTTTGTATTTAGATGATTGTATATTAATATATATTAATGATATATTTTTGTTTGGCTAATAGAATGATATGATTGTATTTTCAGTCAAATTACTAATTTATTCATACATATTTATATAATAGTAAGTAATATGTAAGAAATATATAATAAAAAATAAATAAATTATTTACTAATATAATTATATTTATATTTAAATAAATAATTATTATAAATTAAATTTTTATATTTAATAAAATAAATAATAAATTATGAAAATAAAATTAGAATTAAGTATATTATATGGGGTATAAAGGAAAAAAAAGTAATCTGTTAGTCATATGCTATCGATTTGGTGATTTTAAAATTTATTCAAAATTTACCGATTTGATATCATTTATTATCATTAGAAGTTGAAATAAACATGATTTTCTCACACTCATGTAATACCATACATTAAAATACTATCGTTTATTGCCATGCGAACAGAATCTTTGGGGAAACCAAAATTTCAAAGTTCAAACCCTCGTAATCTATGATCGACAACGATTGTACTACTCCACTCCCTCTTCTACACAAAACAACAAAAATAATCCTCTCTTTTTGTGTCACACTAATGCTTCACACTATATAACTACTATCTTTAAAACCCTAGATTACCTCTCCAATCAAATAATGATGCCTATTTACATTCTTTACCAGGAACCCTAACTACCATACATAGATCCAATGGACAAGGAGGATCCACGAAATGAAGACTCTAATCACCACATCTCACTAAAAAGTCGAGGCTCAACCGTTTCATATCCGAGTTGGAAATCCAGGGGGAGTTCACCCACCACCAAAGTAGGGTAGC